CAAAAAAAATTATTTGTGGTTTATCTGAAGTTTGAATTCTACTGGTAACCTTAAGTTTTTATAATATATTAGTTTCTTTGCTAATTCAAGCATATATGATGTCCAGCCCATGCCTAAGAACCTTCCTTTGACATGGATGGAGAAACAGCAGAACAGAAAGGCCACTACTATGTGTTCTGTGAGTGATATATAACCTGAGACAAGGAATATCATGTAATATTTTCAAGAGCTAAAAACAGTCTCTTGTCCTTAACAAGACAGCAAGAAATCAAGGTAAAGGCAGAGATCTTCTATAAGGTAAAGTCCTCATGAATGGGATTAGTGCCATTTTAAGAGATTCCAATGGCTACTGTACTTCTTATACTACATTAGGTCAGGGTGAGATCTTTGTGTACCAGAAAACAGGGCCTCCCTCATCAGAATAAAGTCACTGGTGCTTTACTGTTGGATTTCACAGCCTCCAGCACTAAGAACTAAATTTCAGTTTTTCTAAGCCACCATTCTATTGGACTGTACTGTAGAAGCTTGAACAGAAAAGACATTGACCAAAAGAAACACTGGAAGCCGAGCGTTGGTGGTGCACAGCCAGGCATTGGTGGCGCACGCCTTTAATTCCAGCACTCGGGAGGCAGAGGCAGGCGGATCTCTGTGAGTTCGAGGCCAGCCTGGTCTCCAGAGCGAGTGCCAGGATAGGCTCCAAAGCTACACAGAGAAACCCTGTCTCGAAAAACAACAACAACAACAACAACAACAACAACAACAACAACAACAACAACAACAACAACAACAACAACAACAACAACAACAACAACAACAACAACAACAACAACAACAACAACAACAACAACAACAACAACAACAACAACAACAACAACAACAACAACAACAACAAAACCAAAATCAAAAACAAAACAAAAAAAAGAAACACTGGAACACCTGTTAATGAAAGGGAGAAGTAAAAACAAAACAGGAGGGAGGGGAACAGCTGCATATGACTCACCAATTCTGTAAATAAGAACTCTGCTGCCAGTGGGATCCCTGGACCTCAACACTCCATGGTAGCCAGCCTTCAGAAGTCCAATGACACTTCTAGGGTGCAGATCTGCACTTAATTCTGGACATTCTGCTCGCCATTTGTAATAGTTTTTCAGTAACTGAAAAATAAAATCAAATGAGTTTACCATGATGTACATGGTAAACATTTTGTAAAACAATTGAAAGGCTTGATATTGTGTGTGAACTTTGTCATCTATCATATCAGAATCTGGAAGTTTGTTGTTGTTGTTGTTGTTGTGTCGTTGCTGCTGCTGTTGTTATAAAAGACAAAATTCCTTTCATTAAGGATTTGAGATCCCAACAGTTGGTCTTGAACTCAAGACTCAGTCATTTTTAATTGCCATCCGTAATCCTCTCCAAAACAGTCACCAAGTCCAGACCTTCTGATGTATACTTTCCAGAAAAAGGTGGAATTGGCTTTGGATGTGAGCTGGCCTTTTAGGGATCCAGGCACAGGTAAAATTACTGGATGGTAGCATTCTATATGGACAGAAGCCTGATAGGTGGAGAGGCCATCCTGAATTGCCTAATTTCAGTCAAGTCCCCATGGGATACCATGAAGAGCCAAAATGCATCATCCCACTGAGCCTTGGCCAAGACACAGAACATAGGCAAGTGTAGAGTCATACTGTAGGTCAAAAACCTTAACGGAGATTTCCTACTTAGTAATAGATAACTGAAATACTACCCCTAGTACTTTTGGAACAAGGAATGAAAGCCAATCAAATGAGTTAGAAGTAAAGAAACCATATAAGTAAAAATTAGATCTTGGCAAAATATGGTTTAAAGGAAACCCATTGTTCCCTCCATAGAAATACCACCGTAATTGGCCAATCAATAAAAAGTTAATATCATTTTATTTTCTTTGTGTTTTTTGTCATTGTCATATTTCCTAAATTGACATTGCACTTGTTTTATGCTTACAGGTTGCTATTAGCCACATCAAACTTCAGGTAAAAGGCAAAGATATGGTAAGCATTTTGTGTAAAATTAGAAAGATGCTGTATGTGGAATTTTGTCCTTCATTGAGTTAGGGACTTAATCCGGGGAAGCTTCATCAAAGGAACTTCATATTTGAAATCCATTGTCATAAACACGATTACTGTAGCCACAAAGCAATGGTGATCCACAGGAGACCCTACAAATAGCTATACTGAGGGAGAATTCTGAGCCGTGGAAAAAGTCCCTGGCTGGGACTGAGCTGGAGAAGAGCCAATTGGACTGTGAGAAAAGCATAACCCTGGAGTCCTCTAGGACACAGCCTTTGTGGTTCCCCCCTCCCTCTCCCTATTCTCCTCATGTTGTCATCTCCTCTGTCTATCTGTCTCTCTCAGCTCTGCATGTAGTAGAGTCTCCTTAGCTTAAAAAAGTGGGACTTACTAAAAGTCTAATGCAGCAAAGGAAGAAAGAAGAAAGTCAATTTGCCAGCAAAAATAATTGGTGACCTAAATAGCCATTCCCAAAGGCAGCAAGAACAAGAGGCACATTGAAGCTCTGATACATTCATTTTGTCCAACACCATGAATTTCCCTTCCTCCCCTGTTCTAGGTGGTATCAGAATCAGTGTCAACAGCATTTTAGGATGCTCACACACCTTGTGAAATCTAATACCATCTTCTCAGTTTTGCCTTATAGTGACTCTGAGAGGTAACTACCATCAATCCATTATATAGGTAATGAAGCCATGAGAAATTATGTTTACCCACTAAGCAAAATGAAGATTGAAATTTATATATGGTATGATAAGTTTCACAAAAAGAAGCTACAGCTTGATGGAAATTGTCAGGAAGAGGAAGAATTTTAAAAACTTTGAACTTGATTGAAGCTCAGGGAAGCCTGTGCTGGTGGAAGACTACTCTGACTCCTTCAGGTCAGAGTACTAAGCATGAAGCCATAAAGACTGAGCACACTGTATATGTTTTGGGTTATTTTGTTGCAATAATATAATAATATGAATGGCACCAGTTATAAAGAGATGAAGTTCATCTTGGCTCACAGTTCTGGCCCATGGTCTATTGGATGCAATATGCTCTTGGCTTTCCTACTGGTAGTCCTCAGGAAACACCAGCCATTATATGGCAAGACTCGGGGAATGTGTGTGTGTGTGTGTGTGTGTGTGTGTGTGTGTGTGTTACTCTCATTTAAAAACTATCAGTATTCTATCATGAATGCTCCACACTGATGAACTCTTCCCAGAAAGCACACTCCAAACACAGTAGCTGGATTACATTTCTACCTTCTTAATAAGTCTCAATATGAGTTTTGAGAGAGCCAACCATATCTAAACCTTCAAAGTTTAAAACAGAAATGTAAAGAACTAGACAGTTTGCTTGTCAAACAGATGAGGCTGTTTTCATGTTGACTATTCTGTCCTGAAGGAACCAGTAGTCTTCCAGCAGCACAAGCTGTCCTGATCTTCAACCAAGTTCAAAGCCCTGTGCCACAGATTAACAGTGAGTACTGACAAGTTACCATACTGTGCCACAGACTAATAGTGAGTACTGACAATTCACTCTATATCTCAATTTCTTATAAAATGAAAAAATAGATATTCCATATAAACAGTTCAGCAAAGGGCCTGGCATTCCATCAAAATATTGGCTATTAAGACTAGAAAATATTAATTTATCATAACTTCAAAAACCAGAATAGTGAGAAATTCCATTGTAACTGAGGGCATTGTAGAAGTTTCCTACTACAAAATGCTAGGGTTAAAAAAATAAAGTTAGGGTTTATATACCATGAGCAAGAGAGTTTGCACTAACTACAACTGCAAAAGAAAATAAAAAGTAGGTTGCATAGGTTTGCCCTTTCCTCTTTCCTTCCAGTTGGCAGACAAGACAGAGAGGTCACAAGCAGAAACTTGGGTTCTATCCAGTGGACGCAGAATCCTACTAGGCAATTCATCAAGGTCTGTGCAGATGAAAACCATTCAGCAAAAGAGGGAATACGGGAAATGTCCACATGCTCACAGAAGCTATGGACTGACTCTATATCTTTACCTGCTTACTCATGACTGTTTAAAAAGCAGCTAAGACCAACAACTCATAGATTTTATTAGGTATGTATCTTTATTTTTTAAGGACTCTTTAAACTATAGGAACTGCCTCTTCATATTCACTAGCTGCAAAGTGCACACTAGTGCATTCATTGATCACAGTGTTTAGAAACTTCACACCCAGCAATCACAGGGAAAGAAGTGAAGCTGCACTGTTATTTAATTCCTAACATATAGTGACATCCCAGTGGTCTTGGGATGGTGACCGCATACTAGGGGCATGGTTTCAAGTGTGCAGATGTGGCACCTTATAAGGAAGAGGAGGAGCTGGCTTTCTCTCTCTTGGGTTGTGGTTGAAGCATCCAGAAGGACAGAGACTGCATCTTCAGGAGCGGGAAGACTTTGGCAGTTATTTGCCATCATTTTGTCAATGCTCACCTAATAAATACCTGTTAATCATTTATCAGGGTTTTTATGGACTCCTTTAAATCCACCTTCACTAACATCAAAATAATCTCAGTATGTTGAAATCAACATTTAAGAAGGAAAGCAATCCATAATCCATTTCTAAAGAAATTGTTGGATATAATCATTTATAAAAAGGCTGGAGACTTAGCTCAGTCATAGACTACTGTCCTACCATGTACATGGCCATGGGTTCAATTCCAAACTCAAATAAAGAAAAGAAAAAGACATGAAGAAAAGGAATTTTATAGTAGCCCAAACAGAGGCTAAAGGTTCCATTCAGAAGCAAAGTGAGTATTTATCATGTGCAAAATGAGTTCGGTTCTATAAGAGGAAAACACTAGTCCTGTGGAAGGCAAGTCACCACAGGAGTGATAGCATTTGTTAAGGTCAGGGAACTCTAAAATAAATAAATACATAAATAAATAAATGGAACAGTGAACAAATGAAGAAAACTCATTCCCCCAGCTCCATGGCTGCTGCACTTATGGCATGACTTAGCCTTGATGGTGGCACAGTTAACTAGCTGATACACTGCTGATGTCACCAGAAAACAAAACAGCCATGATACCCAAGAGCAAACAAACAAAAAAAAATAGTCAATATATTTCATCATATTTAAACATTCTAGTTCTTTCGGAAAGGACATGGTTTAAATGTCAGACAGGCTATAAGCTAGGACAAAGACTACATTTCTTTGACGTAGATAGCTATTTTTGAAGCAGAAAAAATAGAACAAGTGGCAAACAAAAAAAAGATAACAGAAAAAACTAGTTTTAGATATCTAAAATATGGTTAACCTCCTTATAACAAAATTAATGTATATTATAATAAAAACAAAAACTATTTCTCATCTAGCATGCATAAATCATGTTTGGTAAAGCAGCATACATAATATGGAGAAAAAGACACCACTGCACAGTGCACATTTTATCAGTGTAGCAAACAAGGTAAAAACCTCACCACAAAGCTGCTGCATTCCTCAACACTGAAGATATGAGCATCATACTTCAGCAACTGATGAATTTGTTCATTAAGGACCCATTAGAATATGTTCTCATTTATGGATAAAGATGAAGTATAAAGACAAGCTAGAATTCAAAGACAGTGATAGAAGAAAATACCCATCTGCCTATGGCATATTGTACTGCTAGACAAGAATCAGGATATAAAAAGAAAAGAAAAGAAAAGAAAAGAAAAGAAAAGAAAAAGAAAAAGAAAGAGGAACACTAAATGAAGGGGTCAGTGTCCAGCATGTCAGGACTGTGGTCCCCGTGACTGGATGAAGGCATGAGCAGTGAGCATAGGCCCAGCACCACCTAGTAACACTCTACAGCTGCAACCACCGAACTGATTAGATACATTTAATCCACCTTAAGGGATAAATACAGTCCCCAAAAGTGCAAGATGTGTACGCACATGCTCACGTGACATGATTCCATATAACACAAAAACAAAAAAAAAAAACCGAGAAAAAAAAAAAAAAAAAAAAAAAAAAAAAAAAAGTACAAACACAGGCACCTGCTTGAGCGAACACAGACTACATGCACAAAGTAACAGGTAACACCCCACACTTCTGGTCACTCAACTACTAACTAAAGTTTGTGATGGGATTTTTTTTTTTTTTCCTTTTTG